AAAGACTGGTAAATGTGGAAATCTTTTTTCTAGAAGAAATGTGAAAGGAAATATGGAGGGTTATAAATAGATAACAATTGAATTTCATGAATAAAATAATAACAGTAGGACCTTAATCTGTAAGCATTTAGAAGCATTAGACTATTAAAGTAGATGTCAAACATGACAAACAGTAGCATTTATTCTTAATAGGACAAAATAGACCTATTCAAAATAGCAATCAAGGTGGAAAAAAGTGAGAATATATTTTCTTTAAATAAGATGAGAATACTGCCTATGTCTTTCTTATAAGGGTCTTTCTCTCCCCATAACAATTGTGCAGATTCCTACTGTTGGTGTAATGAAGAAACAGCTGTAAATTTTCACAATTATAAGTACAATAAAACTTGATGTGTCTAATTAATTTTTGGTCCAGCAAATTAGTTTTATTCTTCATTACTGTCCAATGGGAGGAAAACATATTTCATTATATTGTTTCTGCAGAAACAATGAAGCGTTACAGGTCAGATACATCCCTCATCTGTATTCTAATTAGCTAACCTGACAATACTGATTCAAAAACACCTGGAGTATATGAAGTAATTTAGTGATACTTGATTTCACTGTTTTCTCATTTTTTCATGCACATAGATCTATATTTTATGTTTGTGATTAAATGTAACAAAAACTAATTCTAAATTAATTAATATGTTTTTCTCCAAAACCAAACACATTAATATTGTTGAACTTAATTGGACATATGCATCCATGTTCACCTATTTTCATCCTCTAAAATCACAGAGCAATGTTATTCTGTCATTTAAATAAATAACTACTTTTTGTGCATGTAATGGCAAGGCCCCAAAGGATAGCGCAGTCTTACAGACTATTAAATTAAAAGTACATTGATATAATTGGGAATCTATCCTTCCTAGGGATATGTCATAAACTTTAGAGCTTTCTGAAAATTGCCTTGAAAATTATCTACCTATTCAGCCCATTTAAAAGCAGAGATTCTGAATTTGCAGATGGTAGAGTTTATAAAGTGACTTTCAAAAATAGATGTAGACCAATTTTTTTAAAAAAGTAACTAAAAATAAAATGTATATTATTTTAAAATATAGTCACTGGTCAACAGGCTGACAGAAGAATATATCCTGCAATATACATACATTGTATATACATACAGCTATACATTGTTTCTCACTTCTACCCTTCTGCCATTCTCTTTGAGTTCAAGAATTTCCTTTTCTCTTACGTAGTACAGATATCTAGAGTTAGTGCATCACTAAAAGGTTTGGAAACAGCTCAATAGCTTTACAGTAGTAAATTATTATTTGAAAGCCTATGGCAGTGATGGTGAACCTTTTAGAGACCGAGTGCCCAAACTGCAACCTAAAACCCACATGCATCGTCAGGTGCCAGGTGGGTGTGGCCCATTGGGTGGGTGTGGTCCATTGGGTGGGCGTGGCTGTGGTGGTAACAACAGACTGGGTGGGACTAAAAAGTTCTATCAATCAATTCCAACTTTGCAAGATCTTTTTTTTTCCTGCGAGAACTTGAAATTGACTGATTGATTGAACCTTTTTTTTGTACACGGCAGCGGAGGCCTAAAGCAAAAAGATTTTAAAAACCCAGCTGAAAGCCTAAGAGTGGGGCGATGGCGCGCATGCCCACAGAGAGGGCTCTGAGTGCCGCCTCTGGCACCCGTGCCATAGGTTCGCCACCACTGACCTATGGGATCCAAGTAGTACTAAAGCCATTTAATTTGAGATACATTGTTATTTAGATTTCAGACTTGGAAATCACCAAGTATGTTTCATTTAAAAAGTGATTTTTACATCTTACTTGTAAGATTTAGCCATAGGGTCCTCATTTAAAATGCTTACCATAATATATTTGTTTTTGAAGTATGAGCTAGAAAGTAGAAAGCCATCATATTTTTCATTAACCTGAATATTCATTAGAAAAAAATACTTAAAGTATTTCATATTTATCTACCTATCCCAAAAATCAAATTCCATATCTTTAAAATGATACATTTATGCCTTTTTTCAAAATACAGAATTAATTTGTACAGGAAATGGCTTATTTGGGGATTAGACAACTTAATGATTACAAAATTGACCATATTCAGTGGCAGACTGGAAAGGAGCCTAATTTTGCTGAGCCATTCGAACAGCAAATTAATCCTATTAACCAAAATGGAGCCTATATACATTGTAATTTACTTGCTAATGACTTTTAGACTGGGTGTTCATTATATGAACATTTTTTCCAGTAAATGGGAAGAAATGAGTCATCTCTAGAGATTTTGTGATTTCCAAAACAAGATAAATAAAACTGTACTTTGTAATAGATATTATTTATGTTATTCATTATAAAAACAGTTATATAAGATTACTAAATTATAGTTTAGATGAATAAATTAGTCTTAAATTTTAAATGTATGCAATTACAATAATACAAAAATTTTATATATTCTGTTTTTATTTATGAAATAAAAAACTAATAAATCAATATGTGGAAGGATAAATGTTGGTATTCCATCTATGCATATATATCACCCAACAATAGATATGGGTGATTATATTAGATAGTAGATACCAGTAATCAGCAAAATTATTGTTTAGTGGATTGCCACACAATTTCTACAACATACAGAGTTTCAGAGACTGTATATAGTACTGTATCAATTTATATAGTTATCTACATAAATCTCACACGCATGAATAAAATATAATACATAAAATAAAAATAAAAAAATAAAACCACATAGCCAAATATTATAAAACTGCCATCTACATAGCTAGTAGATGGGTTATGTCATATACTTGGGCACCAGGCTCAGGCCCAGTATCAAGGTTTCAAGCCAACAGGATCATGGCTGGTCTAATGTGAGAGGGAGTGATATTTCTCTGGGTCCCATCAGCCAATATTCTTTAACTGGTGATTAAGCAAGCACCTCTTGCTGGATCAGGTAGGACAAATTAAAAAAAAACTAAGGAAAAATAATTCCATAAGTAATGTGGTCCAAAGCCACAAAGGTTTTAGAAGTTATTACTGTACCTTGAATTGAACCTGAAAGCCTATTTGAAGCCTATGCAGCTCACAAAACAGTGGTATCTCATACACTGAATAACAGCACCATTAACAGTCTATGCTGCTGTATTCTGCACCAGCTGAAGCTTAAATAGCCTTAAAGGGCTGCCCCTATAGAGTGTATTGTGGTAATCCAATCTAGAGGTTATGAGCACAGAAGTGACTGTGAGCAGGGATCCCAGTTCAGGAACATTCCATAAACATGACCTCTGCTTTGCTCATAGTAGATATACTAGGTACAAAGTTTTCATTACTATAAGATGGATTTTTTAAATACCCTAAACACTTTATTTCAACATTATTCAGCTGAATGGCTTTGGTCCAATTACTCTTTCAGCCCAGTCCATCTCACAGGTTTGCTGTTGTGGGGAAAATAGGAGGAGGAATGAATATTATGTATGTTTGCCATTTTAAGTTACTTAGAAGTAATAAAGTAAATAAAAATCTAAGAAATAAATAAATTCATAAAAGTGCTTCTTCACAGTGTCCAGGTTGCCAAATAAAATTAGTGGTTATTTTAGTAAGAATTTCACTGTTATGTAATGTATATGAATGAATACCTTTAAATATCTTCAGAAGGAAAACATAGTTAAATTGTTTTCCATCTTTGTTTTTAGTTAGGTGGAAGCTTTTCTTTTTTCTTTTTCTAATAATCTGTTTTGGTCACTAAAATTTGTTTTAGTGAGAATTCTATAGAAACTTCTTATATATTTGACAGTATTTATAACCCATCCCAATTTTTGCAGATTTTAGCTGATACTTATGTCAAACAACAGGCTGCAACAGGGAAATTTAGAATAAAAGAGTATAAAACAGCCATAAATCAAAATATCAATGAATGACTGCAATTGGAACTTGAATTCCAATTAAGTCACAAAATTGAGTATGTCTTTACATTTCAGGTTCCCCTTACTCAGAACAAAGGAAAGTTAATAATTAAATGTATATCCCGCCTTTTCCCTAGGAATTCAAGACTGTACATAACATTCTGTCTTCCATTTTTTTTGTCAACAATAGCTACCATGTGGAGCTAAAAAAAATAGCAGCTGAAGTGGAACCAGCACCACGGTTTTCTACTTTTAGGTCAACTCATTAATTCCACACTGTGTCATTTTTCTAACTTGATTTGGATCTTTCAGTCATACCAGTTCTAGTGCCCTAGAACTCGAAGGGAAGTTATTTCTTTCCCCGTGAGAATTAGGATGGAAGCATAAACATGAAGGATTTCTTCTTTGTGTTCATTGATTAACGTTGGTCATGAATGTTGACTCTAAAAAAACCACACTTCAAAATTAACAATGTCTCATGAGAAAAGAGACCATTGAGATGTTTAGTTTGGAATGAAGGAAGAGAAGGCTATGAAATAATGGATAGCATAGAGAATGAGAAGAACTTTTTCACAACCTTAGAACTTAAATTCTACTGGAATTAAATGGCAGATACATACCAACAGGAGAAAACTCTTTTTCACACAGCACATAGTTAAATTATTGCAGATACTTTGAATTATTTTAAAAAAGAATGGATAAGTTAATGGGGGATCAGCTTATCAATAGCTATTACTGTTAAAGACCGTTGACTGTATCAAGGCATTCTGCCTTTAATATTTGTTGCTGCAAAGTTGCAGATTATGCTGATTTGTAACCTTGCCAAATGTTTCCAGTTATCTACTATGTGACACAGAATGTAATATTCCATGGGCCTAGAGCTGCTTTTGTAGAGCTGTTTTGAGATTTTTGACACCTTCCAAAAACTGATTAAAGTTGCTTTTTTAAGAATCAGTTGTTGATTATTCTATTATAAAACATTTTTAGACTTTATTTATCTTGCCATACCTGTTATGGCATAAATATTCCGCTATTATATATTATTATTATTATTTTATTTATTTATTTAGTTCAATTATTTATGTTATCCAGGAGGGCGTAATGAAGTCATCATCACTGAAAACAACAATAGCATAACAGAACAAATTACGGATGTTGTCAAGCAACCTGCCTTTATTGCTGGAATTGGTGGTGCTTGCTGGGTTATACTCATGGGTTTCAGTATCTGGCTCTATTGGCGCAGAAAGAAGAGAAAGGGCCTTAGCAATTATGCAGGTAAGAACAAGAATTGAGTTTAAAATAAATATTCAGCTAGAATATACCTAGTTCACAGAATAAGGAGTTGAGCAGATTGAATGTTGTTTATTATGCTGTGAAAGAACAAGAATATGAAAAGCTTTAAGTGCATTGCTCTGTATCACATTTCATCATTGCTACCAGAAAGCTGTCTAATATTCACATAACAAGTACATCTGATATAAGAAGCCCAAGAATTTTAGATGCACCTTTTCCCTAAGTGAAAGAGAAATTCAGCAGGTTTATTTTATTTTATTTGCAAAAGTAAAGAAGTATATAAATAAAGTGGAATTGATAAGTTCAGGTTGCTAAAGATCAACTTGTTATATCATCATTATTTTCAATCATGTAATCATGACCAAATTAACTGAGATGGAGGCCAGTATGTCCTAATTACATGATTTCACTTTCTCCCATAAATGGATGAAAGAGAATCAGTCCATTCAAATCCTGTCCTATTTTGCTGTTCACTAAGTAATTAAACAAATGATTGCTGAGTTAGCTTTGTTTGATAATACTGGATACATTGTAAGTAAACATTCTACTTATCTTTTATAAAACAGAACAGTATAAAACACTGGGGGCATTCAAGTGAAAGCATGACATATTTTCTATTTATGAAAGAAATAGAAATGCATAAGGATAAATTTTGGAATCTCCTCTTGTGTTTTTCTATTGTTTTCGATCACATAAGGTTTTGTTTCCATGGTCTGAAAGCAATATAAAAATGTCCAAAATGTGCACTTTAGAAATTTGATTTATATTAAAACATTTTTTTATAATCTGTGGTCACCAACTTAATCAACTTAGTTCACAACTGAACTGAAATCAGTATAAAGCAAAAGACTGTTAATATCCTTCATGTTGCCTTCTGGATTAAAACTGGTGTGAAGCAAGAATATTAATATTGCATATTCCATTGCAGCTAAATAAGAAGGCTGTGAATTTCTCTACAATTTTGATGCATAATTTTTGAAGAAAAATATTATTCATGTTCTATTTGAATTCATTGAAACTCTGGCTATGTGATATTCAAATCAGATTTTGACTCTGGCTATTTTTTTCTTAATGATTACATACATTGAACATTTATGGTTATAATTTTAAAAGCAATGTTTGGTTTGCAGATTTTTATTTTCTTCTTTATAATGCATATAGCACTTTCAACCTTTTTCTGTTTTTAAGGAAGTAATTAAATTTTGTTCAGAAATTATATCATTAAGCTCAATGGCACTACAGGTAGCATTGTTTCATTATCTAGAATGATTAGATAACAGTTCTTTACATATTTAAGGGAGGGGTGATAGATTTTCTGCTTTATTTAGATTTTCAGAAACATCAGATGTGCTAAATACATACTTCCTCAAATCTCATTATTTAATTGTTTGACATCTCATGTATAAGAGCATGTTTCTATAAATAGTTTTGTAACATCTAACAATTTGTAGGTTTACCATATGTGCAATATATACACGCAGAATAAATATCTCTTAAAAGTATGTAAAAATTTTGGTTAATTGCTGGCAACCATATACTTTTTAGTCAGCATAAAAGCATTATAAAAAACATAACATTCATATAATTTCTCTTCTAATATTTATGTATATGGTATTAACTCTTGTAACACTTTTAAGTGTGTCATATTCTACACACTTGAGTATTTATTGTTAAATGTTGCATTTGCCTGATAATGAAAATTCATAATCAATTACATTTGAAAGAAAAACATAGCATCTATATGCCGGCTTGCATGTCCATGTAACTATTTCATATAAATATAAAAAACCCCATGCATTTATGTTCAATCCTTTATCATGGGCTGCTGCTAATGCTTAAATGTGAATTGCTATAATTTGAGCCTGATAATTTTTGAAAGACAGCCATGCCCTGTAATTGGCATTGCTTAAGAGTTTTATAACTCACAATGTATTTACTTTTCTTGTTTTGCAGTCCAGTCCTTCACCTTCACCCCTGCAGGTACTGTCCATTAGTTCTCTCTTTCCCCCAGCACCATACAAATGAATACATTATAAATATTCAATTTATAAAAAGAATTAAAAACTCATGTGCAAGAATCAGCATTCTTTTTATGTCATACTAATGTGGTATTGTACCAGCGATTCTAAAAGAATGATATATTATAATATTAATTTATCTATCTTTAAAATTATGCTCACATTTTCAGCTTTATTAATTTTTTATTCTTAATTATTTATTGAGCATTGTTTGAAGTGAAAGAAGACAGAGTACAAACATACAAACTTGCAAAATTTTGAGGTAATCTATATTATACTATAGTTTAATATAGATTTAATACAGATCATATATATTATAGTTTCCTACTTTTTGTAAAAAATTTTGAGTTTAATTATATGTAGATATTATCAAAAATTAACATCCTTAAATCCACATGGCAGGCAGTAACTTATTCACACACAACCCATTATAATTGAAAATATTTATAAAATTATAAATATTATATAGATTTATGAAATCTATATCATACGAATAAAACCAGATTCAAAATTAAAGTTATTAGAATTTCTTTATCATATCTAACATTTAATTAAGTACAATAAAATTATATGAGGCAAAAATAATAGCACATAAAGAACTCTTCCATGATATATATGGTCATGAAAAGCAATAGGCATTGTTAAGTCAATAATTATGTTTTTATTAAATATTTTATGTCTCTTTCAAATAAATTTAAAGCGAGTATTCAAAACATACAAATGAATAGATACATTTTTAAAGGTTTATATTTTGCTTTTATTTTTTAAAAAGTATCAGGATGAGTTTAAAACACTTGAAACTTACATGGAAACAGCCAAAGAGACAGAATCATCAATTACAATCTATCACAGATGATAAGAGCAAACCAACATGGTCTTCAACAACTGACTCAAATGGAACTTTCTCTCAAACAAATAGCCTTCTAAAATCTTTGGGCTAAAGAACCTCATATTCCTATGACTTTAGGAATGAACAGGATAGTATCTATAGCTTCACTTAATAATCACTTTTGAATTTATAGCCAATAAAGCTGTTATTGAATTAAAGTAACATGAATTAATGAGCATGTGCTCATCAAGGTCTGTAGCCACAATTTAAACTCATTAAAAGTTTTGGAAATTCTTCCCTATTTGGAGAAGATGGCCTAATGACTGACTTCACTAGTTAATTCTGTATAATAATATAGAATGTATTTATAGTACATGAAAGTGAATAACACATCTGTGGTTATTTCACTTGTTTTGAATCCAGTTTAATAAGGTAATAACATAAGCAGTTGTTGAATTACTAATTATTTAACTTAATAAAAAACTAATTTTAAAATTGTCTTAATTCACTTATGTCCTTAACTTTTTATCAAACACCTTTTATGACAACTTTTTCCATTTCTTTATTCTAAATTTAGCTATTGAGTTGTGTCTGATATCTCTGAGAGCTCCATCTCTCTCTCTCTCCCTCTCCCTCCTCCTCTCTCTCCCCCTCCCCCCTCTCTCTTTCAGCTTTGATTACTCACTTACATCTGTTTTACTTGTGTCTCTTTCAAACCTCAGCAGGAGATCACAAGTGCTTACTGATAGTGCCCAAAACCTCACAGCATGTGGAGATGTCCAGTGTAAAGATGTTAACCATATAAGTCCCCATAATAATCCACAATAAATCATGAAAACATTTGACTATCATTGCTAGGGTTTTCTGGCTGCTTGTTTGGAGAAAGAGAAATACAATTTAGAAATAAAGGTAGTAGGAAAAAGTAGTATTACCTGTCATTGCAGTATTGCTTATCAGAAAACCATTTGAATTCACAATGGAAAATAGACTTCTTTAAGATGGGTAAATACCAATTGTTTAAGAAATAATGTTAATCAAAAGGACAGACTTATTTCATTGGGACAATTTCAAGATCTAGAATTAGTTTTCTAATTGTAGATATATTCTGTATCGAAATAAAAGTCTACCCTCAAAGTTGAATACAAATAAATTTTCAACAAGGAAAAATGCTGAACATTCTAGCCCATAAAACTGAACAGTAGAAAGACCATCAAAGCCATCAATACCTGGAACATATTTGTGATACGATATATTGCTGGAATTATTAACTGCACAAAAGCTGAACTAGACAGTTTGCACTGAAAAATAAGAGAATTGATGACTATTCTCTATGCATTATATTTCCATAGTGATATTGATAGATAATACCTGTCCTACAGATATGAATGCAGAGGTTTATTTCATGTCAGACAAATTTTTGGAGATGCATGCACTGGCTTAGTATATAAAAGAAGGAGAGGAAAGTAGATAAAGATAAAATCTGGAAATTGGTCATAACTGGATTGTTAAAAAAAGAAACTGTACACTTACTTTTGCCTGCTCAAGACCGAGCTATTCAAACTAATGCAATCAAGGTCAGAATCCAAAAATCATCAAATGAGCCAAAGTGCAAATTGTTCAAATAGGCAGAAGAAACAGTAGTTCATATACTTAGTTCATGCAAGAAGATCGCTCAAATTGATTATAAACAACAAAATAATACAGTCAACAAAATGATTCACTGGACCATCTGTAAAAAGTTTAATCTGCCAGTAATGAAAAATTGGTAGGAAATTATAGTTTAAAAAGTAGTCAAAACTGAGCAAACTAAAATATTGTAGGATTTCCAAATACAAACTGATAATGTCAAGAATGAAAAACACTTATAAGGCTATTTTATTTCCTTTACATGGATAATCTGAAGCTGTATGGAAAACAACTATGTCTATCTGAAATATAGTCACTACTCAACATTGTCCATATATACATATATAGGGAAGATATTGCAACTGAACTTGGACTAGACGAATGTGTCACACCTGCTATCTGAACTGAAAAAATCAAAATGTGTATGAAAATAACAGCAACAGTCTGAATAAAGACAGTCATAGAATTTTAGGGCCTTTCTAGTCATTAAATACTATACACAGCTGTAATAGTGGAATGGACTCAAGCAGAATTAAAAACCTTGGATAGGAAGACATAAAAAATAATGAAATGAATCATGCTTTCTATCCATGCAGCGATGTTGACAGACTCTACTTACCAAAGTACATAGATGGTCATGGAATCCTGCAAGTACATCAGACAGGGCATTGGAGGAATATCTGAAAGACAGTGATTCGCTGAAACTAGTATACCAGGAAGGCTTACTGAATACTGAAGAGACCAAACTGGCCTATAAGAAAGACCAAATGAAGAACGGAAAAGAGATATGTCAAGACAAAGTATTACATGGCCAGTACATTAAAAAATAAACAAGCAAAGCAGATAACAAGAAGATATGCAATGGCTAAGAACAGGAATATTGAAGAAACAGACAGGCTAATTCTGGCTGCACAAAACCAAGTCTTAAGAAATGCATGGAAAGCCAGAATTGAGAAGACAGGAACAGATAGCACGTGCTGTCTCTGCAAAGAAGCTGAAGAAACTGGACTATCCAGTTAGCTACTGCAAGAAGATTGTACAGCCTTAACCACAAACAATGGTATGACAAAGTAGCAACAATGGACATCTGCAAGAAATACCACTTGCCTGCAAGCAAGAACTGGTGGAATCACAAAACAGACAAAGTAATAGAAAATGAAGAAGCTAAAGTGCTCTAGGATTTTAGTATTCAAATAGAGCCCATAACATCCAGACTTAACAGCAGTCAATAAGAAACACAAAGAAAGTCTAGATAGTTAATGTTAGCACTACCCAGAGACAGCCGAATAGAAAAGAAAGAACTGGAAAAGATAATAAAATATGAAGAACTGCAAATAGAAGTAGAATGACTTTGGCAAAAGAAAACAAAAATAGTACCAATAGTAATTGGCTTCCTGGATGTAATCCCAACACATCTGGAGTACCAGTTGAAAACCATTGACATTGATAAATAATCATCAGTCAATTGCAAAAGGCAGCTTTATTTGGATCAGCTTACATCCTGTGACAGTGCCCTTAATACTGTCAAACAACAACATATGTCTATCCCAGGTCCTTGGTAAGGATTCAATAAGTAGATAAAAATGTCAAATCCAGTTTAAACATCTGATGATTGTGCAGCCAATAATAATAAACATGTGGTGATTGTGCAAACTATAAACAGCTTACATCCTGTAACAATATTTTTGATATTATTAAACAACAACATCTGCCCATCCAGCGTCCTTGCCTTGGGGAAGTCAGATGTACAAAAATGCCACATCCATACTAAACTCAAGGGCTGACTATGCAGCCAACCATAATAATAATATAGTTTACTTCATTCATATATCCAGTGTGGTTCTAATCTACTGTTTATCAGAGTAGTAGTTTATTTAGTATTATATATGACCAAGATGTTCTGCATGAGGAGCCTGACATTTAGTGGTTCAATTCATAAGATTTTTCTCCCTCTCACTTAACAAAAAATGTAGACAAACAAGATAATAGCAGAGAAACAAGGATCATACATAATCAGGTATTCATCAAGACGATCTTGTCTACAGTGGAGGCTCTGTCTTTTGGATTTATAGAAATGAAGTTTAATGTCTGATCACATTCAGATTTATGATGCTCTATTATATTGGTTGAAATAGAGATCTAGTATACATTTAACTTTTAAAAACTATTTTTTATCGTTTCCATTTTAGAATACAAAGGTGTTTTACACTACAAAAACCATAACACAATATATAATGAACATTATAGCAAAATTTGAGCCTCCAAAGTTCTACTATACTACTATACCATAGGTCCAGATATCCAAAATCCTTACGTGCGGCACTCAATATCTTTGCAGATCTTGAAGAAATTAAGTAGGAACACACCTGGATTATACTTGGATGGGAATACACTAGAAAATCCCTGATCTGTGGACTAAATTGGGAATGCAGAACAATATCCACTAGCAAATTATTATCCTCTTCTTGTCCCAGTGTGTCCATACAGCCAAGATAATGGTATTTCCTTTTCTGGCTGTTTTGTATATGTAACATATAAAATAGAATATAGGCATTATGTATGCAATAGATATCTACTGAAACAGGAGAATTAATTCCTACATGTCCTGAATTTGTTAACACATCCATTTTCAAGAAATCTGAAAGCGTGTTATGACTATGTATACGGTCAAGCTGAATTAAAAGTGTACATTTTTGTTTACAAACAATAGGTATGCACATTCCTGGAAATTAAAGATTCTGATGCAAGTAATACATTAATTTAAATTCAAAGTAAAAAGGAATAACATAGGTTAATATAATTTGTTTGACAGAATCATCATCCACACAAGCAGAAGTTTTGGTAAAATTTTCAACAGTGATTATCTTTTCTGAGTTAATACTTATTAAAAGAGGATTAGTCTATATTCACATTTGAGGAAAAGCTTATCAGAAAAAGGAATGAGATTTGGCTGGCAGCATTGAAGTTTTTATTTGTAGTTGGAAAATGTGGCCTACTAGAGATAGCTTTTCACAAAGCTCTTTTGCCTTGAAATGTCAGCTTAGAGTGTTTAATTTTTTTTCTACCCTAGCCAGTATTAATGTTAGGTTAAACTTTGCCAGATGATATTTGTAAATATTTCATCTATGTATGACTTTATTTTCTGCTTTCTCCATTTAACTGTGAAAGATTTATTAGTGTGGGGCATTTGGAAGTGCCATCCTCGAATCACAGGTTAACCATGATTGCTTAACCATCTTACTTGTTCATTAAGCTCCTAATAACATCATGTTTCAAAAAGTCTAATTTCCCTATTCCTATTTTAAAATTTCTATATTCCTTTTTTACAAAGTCTAATTCTATGTTAAAGATGATGTTCACTCTTCAGCATTTTAAAATCTATGTAAGGCAATAAAAAGTGACTATTTTTTTGTGCAAATACTGTAGGTAAGACAGAAGAGGAAGAATGTTAAGGAGATATACTTTATTTCCTTTTTTGTCTCCATGATATTTTACTCCTATTAAATTTAGATTAATAAAATCTGTTTGCATTGTTATAATTTTTTTATGCATAATAAAGACATATTCTAGAGTATTTAACAGCTTACCCTTAATCTATAATTCTACAAATCAAATTAAAGAAAATGACAGATAGAAATATCTAACATGGTGCTTAATTCATCACTCGAGCTACATTCTTTATCATTTTCTTAGCTTATTTAAAATTATTTTGTTAGGACATATGTCCAATAATTTTTGTAGATGGGTTCCAAAAGTATTCAGATGCATTATATACTCCTCCATAGAAACTATTCCAATTTCTTGAAAATGCTGCACAGGGACACAGAAGGCAGGAGAATAAACCATTTTCCAAGAGTATGATTGTACAGACATTTTCAAAGACCCAACACATTGTCAACTAAATTTAAATGAAAGAAATTTGGATTTGGGTAAAATACCAAATTATAGGATATATTCAGAAGAAATTCAATGGCTATTATGAATAATTCAGTGTCCTATTTAATAATGATTTGTAGATATTGGCCAGTATATGAGAATAATAAAGAAATGCAAGATATATTATCAATCAGGAACATCATAAATTTAGAAAATGTTTTCGGTTTTACTTAGCACATAAGTCCAATTGGTTAACAGAATATTTGTAGCTATTTCATATTCTACTTGCGATAATGATCTCCGATACTTTTTTTTTAAAAAAATCATTTCAATCCAACTGTGTTTCCCACTCCTTCAACTTTCTGATTATATTACTGTGCCATTACTGAGAGCTATTATGTTTCAGTCAGTTCAGTGTTTCAGTTCTCATCGCTCCATATTCTTGTCTTTTCGTACATAATGTTGGTTGTTATTAAGAAGCAGACATAATGTCCATAATGGAGTAAAGTTAAAAAGAACTATTTGGACATTCGTAATAGTATGTAAAGATATCTATATGTATAACTTAATTGCTTTAGAAATATATTAATTGTGGTAGCTGTATTTTTGAGTAAATAGTGAACTTTTTTTCGTTTAACTTCTGAAGAATTTGAATTTGAATTTGAATTAAGGCTGAGCACATATTTGCAGAAATGATGATCATTTAATACAAGGGCGTTTTTTTTTAACTGTCATTTTTGCTATAAATGAGAAAGTCTGAGCCGCAAGGCATTTGGCATTTGAATGCGCAAAGCAAAGGCGGGATGGTCCATTTCCAAAATTACTAAGACACAGATTCTTAAGCAGAGTGGCCTTGGTGATGGCCAAAAGAGGGCAATGGGAAAATCTCTAGGGAGGCCCTCCTCTATCTCGGGGGCCCTGTCTTCTGACTAGACACGCCAAAGCCTGAAAAAGCCTCAATTCTGGAGAAGCTCTGGGGTAGATCGCAAGAACTGATCATAAGGACTTCCATTCACCAGAACTCTCAATGGCAGCTAATAGGATTTGGGGCCAAGGGAGTAAGCTAGGATTTTCAGCTGGTCGGGGTTAGTTTTAAGAAGCAAAAGAGATGCAGAGCCAGATACTGAGGGGCCTTTCTCATGGCCACCAATTCCAAGTTAGGCACCTAATGGGGCCCGCAGGTGCACTGGCTGCCAAAGTCGGACCACTTCATGCCCTTTCACTTTCCAGAGGCTCCATCTTGGTTCCTCCAGGCCTATAAAAGAGCCCCCCCTTTCCCACCACTCTGCACACTAAAGAGACAGCCAGGGTACCTGCCTGGCACTACTCTCCTATGGCAGCTGCCTGGTGAAGGAGACACTGTTTGGGGCCTGGTCACTCACCCTTTTGTCTGGAAATGGGAGTGCGACTCGTGAGGTCTCCAGAGGCCCTGGTATGGTCATTTTCAGACTCTCAATGAGAGGTCAGATCCAGGAGCACCGGCCAGCCTGGCAGCGTGGGAAGCCATCCGGGTGAGCGCTTTGTTTGGCAGCCCCAGACCGCTGGCAGTGGGGAAGGAAGGTCTCGATTTCCTGCCTGGCGCGATTAGTTGCCCTAGTCCAGCTGCTTGGAGGCCACCGCCTCTGCACTACAGCCTCACAGGGAGCAAAAGTTTCCCCGGGTTGAAGCTTTTTGGCCGGCTGTGACAGATGGCACAGCCGCCCTCTTGGCTCCTGGAGGCGCTTCTCCGGGAAGGGCAACAAAGGGTCATTCAGCAGGGCTCCTGCAGTGATGCTGGAGTTGGTGCAGTGAGGAAGTATCATGGGAAGAGGCAGGCCCACCTCTCCTGCCCTTCCATGCCCCATCAAGCACAGAGCACCCTTGAGTGTATAATGCAGTTCTGGTCCCTCCAAGTAATTTCCAGAGATCATGGTCATACGGACTGAGAAGGGGCCATTGGGTATAGGCCACAGGGGGATTTTAACCTGCAGCTAGGAAAGGACGCTGTCGGCTAACTCACATCACTGTGCAGTGGCACCACAACCACCACCAGCAGCCTCAAGGAGGTAAGCACGGCTGGGTGCCCTCTTGGGGAAATGAGGCTGGACTGGGCTGCGGGGTCCCAGTGCCTCAGGAGCTCGAGGGCCAGGTGCTTGTCCTCCACTGCCCAGGGCTCTGGGCAGCCCAGGGGGTGATTAATACTAACTGGCTACCCAGATCCTCCTCTGGGCAGGTCTGACCCTGGCCTCCTCTCTGCTCAGTCCATAGTGTTCCGTCAGCCTCGTGCCCCAGGTTGCGGGTCGCCGCTGTCTTTGATGGGGTGGCTCGCGCATAGCCGGGTGCCTGGCCATTCCAGGCCGCGGCTATGCATCCGACATGCATGCAGCATTCCTCTTTCTGGCCCTTTCGGTATATCATTTTTTAATATTTAAAATGGTCATTGGGGCAGAGAACCCGTTAAATTATTTGAATCCCATCACTGCATAATACTGTAGTAAAATGACAAAATATGGTAAAATAGGACAGAAATCCATTTTGCCTTTTTCAGCTGCTGTTCTTGCTAATGGTTTCAAAGTGTCAGAAGTCACATTTACTCTTTAGCAACTGACACAGAAATTTTGGGTGCCTTCTCCCAGACGTCTATGATTTTCAGAGCCAAACATGAAGTCTCCTAGATTGTCATTTGAGGAAAATAATGCAAGGCATTTTAATAGCCAACAGCTACGATGCTGAGAACATTGTGATTGGATCTGAATACAGTTTAATGAGCTGATTTAAAATGGGTTTATGACGTAGTCTTAATAATTATATTATCAATTTACACAATTATCAAATTATGTAATAAAGGCAATATACTATGAAAAAATGAAGTATTTGGTGTGAAAGTTACAACTGTTTCTGTTTTCAATTTTTATAAGTTTTTCACTTCTAATGTTTTTGTGATTATAACCTAACATCATTATTGTTTCATTAAGCACTAGCATGTTAGAATATGCAGTTTCATTTTAATTTAGCTAGAAGAAATAAAGATAATGCGCAATTCAATGGCTTTGAGCTCAATGTGTTATAAGTCAAAAGTCAGTTGATTTTAGAAAATTGCTATAAACCCCATAATGACAAGAAATCAGAAATAAATTACTCTGTGAACATATCACTGAGAAAGACTAACTTAAATTAACATTATGCTGAAGAAACTGGAATTACCTCGTCTTTTTCTATCCTTATACTTAGTTATCTCACTTAAAATACAATCCTTAGGTAAGTGGAGTATAGGCCTTTTGACTTTATGAATTATCCTATGTATTACAATTTCACTCAATATAAAATACTAATGCACTTTTTCCTATTTCTTTTTCTATTTTAAATACAAACCAGTCACTTTTCAAAGAGGAGATGGAGGACTTATGAGCAATGGAAGGTATACTTGTAATTTGCAGATCATACGTCTTTTTAGATTTCTCATATGTTCAGCCCGTTTTTAATTTTCTTTTTTTTTAGAAGCTAGAGACAGAGAGAGATGATCAGATGTAAAACTAGCAATTCTAGGAGGAATTAAAAAGATTAAACTAGCTTTTAATGATCTGTTGTACACTTAAGGAAATCAAACCCAGATGTTTGCTATCTCCCAGATGCCCAAGAAGAAATTAGTAGAAAATATCAGAAGGAATGTATTCATTTGTTTTCAGGATAGTTATTGCATTAATTAGGCATTAGTAAATGAAGTTGCTGTTGTTTAAGAGACCTTATTGGCTTCCATTAAATTGCAGTGAATGAGCAATTACATACAATCGTTCACAAAATAAATGATTCACAGAAGATGAATAAGGTGTAAATTGATAGGACTAGATTCTACAACTTTGGTCACTCAATTGAAATTGATAAAAATTGATAACAGACCCATATATCCTCATATATTTTCTCAGTGCCAATATGGAGACTGTAATTAGAATCTGGTAATAACTTCCTATCTCCCATTGAATCAATATTTTAGCAAAGAAGGGATTAAGTCTAATGAGAGTACATAAATGAGTCAAGCAAGCTGTGTGATCATCTTATTGCCGTTTCTATAGAAACCCATACTTCTCTCTGAAATTATACAGAAGGGATTATTGGGGGTGCAAGAAAAAATATACTGTCATAAATGTAAAGTACAAACATCTGATGAAAGACCTGCTAATACAAAATTCTGATTCCCACTGTTAGCTTTTGCTTTTAAAAATGTTAATATACTCTCAATTTATTTGCTTCGTATTTTCTCTCCATCTTTATTTATCTTACCAAATTTTAGGAACAAGATTAAACCTAGAGTATACCTTAAATTTTAGATTAATCCTAATGTATATCTCATCCATTTGTTTCAGTCAATACATATTCTGTCTTCAGCAGTTTACAAAAACTGAAAACAAACATATGGATGTCTGCTGTCATAAGTAGAACTGCTACTTTGAATTTTCCATTAATCCCATTCAAACTTGCTTGCTTTTAAATTCATGCAAGAGCACTCAGAGGAAAATCTAGCATCTTCTAGATAACAGACATACATTTGGTATGCAGTAAGTGAAAAAACAGTCACCAGAGGACTGGAAATGGTTGATATAGAACAGTCACTTTGAATGATTATTCCCTTGAGGTAGCAATTTATCATTTCTTCCTGGCTTAGGATCTTTCAATGGTACAGCCTATTCCTTCTTTTCAGCCCAGACGATAGAATTCATTAGAATTACAACAAACTGTGTGTGGGTATGCCATCAGTTTTTACATGCAGTGTGTCTGGCTTATACAAAATCCAAGTTTACTCTGAAAATTTTAAAATGCAGAGACTTCCCCATTTTAATATAAAATTACTTTACAAATTTCATAGAGTTGTTACAACTGTTCATGGAGCAAATTGAATGTCTTTTTACATGTTTTTTACAGTTTGCATAGATTTCTCTCATTAATACTTTATTATTGGATTTCTTTAGTCGGCCAGGGCTGTTAAATGCAAGTGACCCAAGTTATCCTTGGCTTGCGGATTCTTGGCCCGCTACCAGCCTTCCTGTTAACAACAGTACCAATGGACCAAGTGACCTTGGGAATTTTGGTCGTGGAGGTACATTTTCCAATTTCTTAATATGTAGGAGGTTTATGGCAGGATACATTGTTTCATTGTCCGACGTGTTTGTTAGAAATGATGATGGAAATATAAGCAATGAAAATAAAAAGTACCAGTAATAATATCATATATTGTTACACTATATATTTATACAAAAGCTTTCTATATCTTCAAGAGGTTTGCAAAATAAAATATTTATATATTTAGTCATTTTTATACTTGCTCTCCTAACATAAACTCCGGATGGCACACAGTTAAAACAGCATAATATTGTAAAAATAAAGTATAATAAAATATAAAACTGTTACACAAATCAGCAATCAAAAGCAAACTATCTGGATGTGTTTGAAAAACATCTAGTGTGTAAGGGGGAGGGAAAAAACAAAATGGCTCATCAAGGCTTTACAAAAGGCAGACCCTACAGATCATGGGGGGGGGTGTGTGATAGAGAAGGTAGGTCTCCTGTGTCCCACCAAATAATATTGCCGAAATGACAATACATACCCTGTCAGAACTTATTAGATTGGAAGAGATAATCAGAGACAAGTGATACCACAAATAATAGATCCTGTGCCATGGAGAGCTTTAAAGATGATAGCCAGCCTCTTGAATTCCATCTAGAAACCCACTGCCAACCAGGGCAGCTTGCAAAGTAATGAATTGTATCAAGGACAGTCCCATGTAAATCACATTGCAGTAATCTCAGTGAGCCCAAGGGAATCACATGGTATACAAATTTAAGAAATAAATAAACAAGAGGTGACCATGCATAAGGCAGGAGCTATGAATCTAGAAATCATACAACAGCTCTGTTTTAAGGGGTAGTGCCATTCAGAACGAAAGATAGAACCTCTGACATCCAAAATTCCTGAAAATTCACACCACTCAGTCTTGCTAAGGTTTAGTCATCTGAAATCTGTAATTCTAACCATATAAATCAAAACTCTTGCAATAATCCCATTGATTGATTAAATCTATAACAATAGGCATAAAATATCCTGGTTCCAAGCCCATCACTTCCAGTTAGATTATGGCCTTACATATCATAAACAAAAAGCTTAAACAGGGATTATTAGTTAATTGAAAGTCAGTACAATCACTTTCAATAGTTATAAAACTAGCAATGGAGTATCCCAGTCAGCACCATGGCTTTAGCATTCTACTCTACAGTAAGCAGCTCAGTGCAAGAATCTGAATTAAAGTATAATATAAGTAATTGACTCCACTATTAAAGTGCTCCTATTTTAAAAAAATTATTTCTAACATTCCTGCCTTTTTAAAAATTAAGTCAATTAAGCAGTGGTGGGATTCAGCCAGTTCGCACCAGTTTGGCAGAGCCGGTAGCTAATTTTTTGTTGCCTAGGCCCAGAATGGACTTCCGGAAGCGGCATCCACACAGAGAAACGGTTGTTCACATATTTGAATCCCACCACTGCAATTAAGTCTCTGCAGTCTGGAACAAGTGGGAGTAGCTCTTCATATTCTTCTGTGTAACATCTGTTCTGGTCCTTGAAAAGTGCAAACATATCCTTCCTCATTCTTCTCAGGGTTAAACATTCCTAATTCATTCAGTCACTTTTTAGTCCCTTAATCATTCTTTTCTTTGAACCTATACAATTCATCTATTTGTCTGTGAGTGGTTCCCAGAAATGGAAGGTGTGCTCCAGGTGGGCCTTCTCTAGCAGAATAAAGTATTAGCTTTTAAACTGCATTGAGTCTGCAGAGTCCGTGATACAAAAATGCTATGAATGAATATTATTATTTTAATTTGGAAACTTGATTTCTGATTCATTATTTCTATATTTGTCTTTTTGGCTGCCTTAAGAAAATAATAATTCATATTTAATTTGACTATTCAGTTTATTAATTAATGGTTGTTCTTCTATTGTACTATTTTTCACAAATGCTGTTGTCATGCTACACACAGCTCATGGTATATCAGGGTATTTCATTTCTTTTCATTACTCTTAACTACACTATTCACTTTTCAATGAGAGAATTTGGTTTATGCTATTTACTGAAATAAAAAGAGAAATAAAAAGACTTCATACTGCATTAGGGTAAACATTAATATTATGATAATTATTTTGTATAAATAATATTTGGCCACTTAATTTTATTACAGAATCCAATCAGGGTCAGTCACTGGGACCAGAGGTTTAATCCCTTGTACTTCACTTAGTAGATTAAAATAATTTTAACAAATAATCAAATCATTTAAACTTCCATCTAATATTAAATTTAAAGTAACTCTACGTTTTAGCAGAGTCTCAATTAATTAGATGAAATTCTTCAAAATGAAAAAAGAAAACATTCCAAAATAATTTATTCTTTTATTTTGTCTTCTTAAAATTATGCATATGATTTTAAAAATAAATACATTAAAATAGTATTGACCAAGACTTTTTCAAAAGAATAACTGAAGATATCGCTGTGTTCATTCAGTAGTTTGTGCAATGCTCGTAAGATGGAGGGGGGGGGGAGAATACAAGGAGATTGTTCTGTGATTTTTATCATATCCCTTGAGCACGACAGTGTCATTGACACTGACATAAAATGAACAATTGGAAATAGTGTTCAGGACAAAAATATTCCAAGCTTCATTTTCACAGCTGAAGATATGGAGGAAATATGGCTTTAAGCAGTGAGATGTGAAGGACAAGTGCAAAGTTTGTCAAAGATGCTGATAGAAAGGCATAGGCTGTACATCATTTTCCCTTCACTGGCTCATGGAAACTGTCTCAGCTGAAAACCAAATGCGCAGCATGATATATTTATTTTTCATATTAAAACCTTGATAGCTTAGTATTTCTTCCTTATAATACTATTTTTTTTTCTCTTCCATTTCTCTGTTTGCATCACAGATGTGCTACCTCCAATGCCAGGGGATAAGACTGCCACAATGCTTTCTGATGGAGCCATTTATAGCAGCATTGACTTCAGTACCAAAACTAGTTACAACAGTTCCAGCCAAATAACACAAGCTACTCCATATGCCACAACACAAATACTGCATTCCAACAGCATCCATGAATTGGCAGTTGATTTACCAGATCCTCAGTGGAAAAGTTCAATTCAGCAGAAAAGTGACTTGATGGGATTTGGTTACTCTCTTCCAGATCAGGGCAAAGGCAACAATGGTGATTCTTGTTCTTAATTTTCTTTTATGAGTATGTTCTCTGTGTGGGTAGAAAATTATAGTTTACTCTCTTCTGTTCCCATTCCTTTAATGTATCTTGCATGTATTCTAAAACTTTACAAATACAACTAATTGGATTATGCTATTTCAGTTTCTTTCATCTTTTGCCAGTTTAATATATCTGCATTGCATCCTGTTACCAATATAACACACTAGGTTAAATATTTAATACATCTTACTTATAAGCTGATTATGAGTTAACTGCATGTTGTGCATGTGCTATAAACTAATCACAAGAAGGTACTATGACCTTTGCCCTTTAACCCTTAGCCTTGCTTTACATCCCTGACTACCGATTGGCTGAGGGATTGTCTAATAGAATGCCACACAACCAGTCACAAGATTTCAGCACCACCAGCTCTCACAACAGTTCAGAAAGGAGTGACAGCCTCTCAGGTTGGTTGAATACAATTTACATAAGAAGGTAGTTTTTATTTTTAATTCAATTTTATAAACCTAAGGCTCAAGATATGTGATCAGTTACTGGATATAACTTTCGTGTAAACATACCCGAGTCATATATAATCATACAAATTGTTTTTTTGTTTTTTTGAAAAATATGCGTTATTTGCTCAATTTAAGAAGCTAATTTAGAGAAAATATAAATTATGTATGAATTTGTTTCCTATATATTTCAACATGAATGGAAATTTTGTTTCATAAAATTCTCACCTTTCTGAAGCAGTACTTCCTTTCTATAAATTAATCACTTTACAACTTTGATTTTCTCTAAGGATATTTATGATTGGTTTTTTATTGTATATACTATTATTGGACGCATATTCTCGTACAGCATCACAATATCTCTGATGTCCAGTATATCAATAAAGTAGAAATATATTGGAATTGAAAGATAAGCATTTAAAATATTTAGAACTATATCCAAATATAAAGCAAAGATAGTATACTGGATATTGCAGTGTAATTATTATAAATGCCATCAAGCTGGGCCACAGTACATAAATAACAATATAAAATCCCGCTGCTATGTAACAAATTATTTTATGCATGCCATTTTTTTAAAAAAATCAAATATTAAAAATGTGTGAAGTTATTTTTAGTATTTCTATTGTCTTGTCAGTTTCTGTTTTTATTACTCTTATATTTATTTCTATATATGTGTATCTTCTATAACCTCTCTATTACCTTTACCCATTCAGAATTCTTCTGATTGTCTAATTCTGTTTGATGTTTCATTCTTCTTTGGCATATAGCACGTTATGACCAAATATAATACGATTATTAGTTATTATTAAGTTTGAATTTCCATAAAATGCAATGTAATCTCATCGTGGATATGTGGATATATTCTCATCTATTTTTTTCCATTCCTCACTGTTCATTTCTCCAGGTATAATCTTTTTTTCATAATTGGGAGGGAGGCTATGAAAGTCAATAGATTCAAAATATTATACTTACACATTATTTTTGCATTTTTAGCTGAATGTTGCAAACTTATTCTAGTAATAAACTTCTTATAGAGTTTTTTTTTGAGTTTAACACCTACACTTGGCTTTGTGTCTGGAAATAAGCCAAATGAATCATATTTGGGATTGTGTTCTTAATAACTGAGAAGTCTGCCCGAGAAACAGTATTATAAATACTGTGTGATTTGAAGCACTTTGTTCTGGTGTTTTATTTTCACTAACATATATTGCATGAAAATTTAAAACAGACAAAATAAATCTATAAATACAGTTTCGACACAGAAAGAACATTTTAACTTTTATTCCACTTATGATTCCTTGTGATTAAGTTATATGGAGTTTGTTAAATGAAAAGAAGTAATGCTTGACAATTATACAAGCTCTTTTCACGCCACACCACTCTGTTATTATTTCTAACTTATGTCAGCTGTAACGTTTTGCTGCTGATATCAGTAAAATAAAAATAGAACAAAGTTTTTTTTTCATGCTTTCACTCTTATTTTAAATGGTGCCATCTGGAATCAAAACTCTTTGTGGAAGTAGAAATATGTAAATAATTAACCTAGCTTCTTCATATTTTTGTACTGCTTCTTGATTTCAGGTGGGAAAGGAGGAAAGAAAAAGAAAAACAAAAATACTTCCAAGACTCAGAAAAATAATGGGTCTACCTGGACCAGTGTTCCTCTTCCACCTCCTCCAATACATCCACTTCCAGGAACAGAGTTAGAACACTATGGAGTGGATCCACAAGAACAAGGGTAATGTATTTTCCTTTGAATAATTTTGAATCCAGTATCTGACAGCTAAAGTCCATCAGGTGGGACAGCCATTTATTATGAAGTTTGAAGAGAGCTTGTAGGTGTAAGAGTTTTCATATACATTTATTACAACAGTATTTTAATCCATCTGATTCAGTAATCCTGAGCTCCATATACTTCCATTACAAATGCACATTTTCATCTCTCTACAGTACTGAAAGTTTAAGATAAGATTCAATTTCCAATGATAAGGATGTTCCTTAATTGCTACTGGCAATGTCATTTCATTTCCAGTATGGTTTCTTTATTCTCCAGATTCTATTTCTCAAAAAAATATAGTGCTAAATAATAAACAACAATAGCATGGACCTCACAGATCTTAGAGGGTATCTAAGAGATCTATTTGAACTCCAGATAGTCACACTTAATTTCTAAATCATAGGATTCCCATACTTTATAATACTTTGCTTATCTACTTACCAAAAATTGAAAGCTAGCTACCATGCCAGCAGTGTGATTCATATATTTAAATTTATGTGAAAACTCAAATGTATTTGTATGTTGTATACATACATTAAATACATATTTGCAAATAGCAATAGCAGTAGCGCTTAGACTTATATACCGCTACATAGTGCTTTACAGCACCCTCAAAACCGTTTATAGAGTCAGCATATTGTCCTCAAAAATCTGGGCCCTCGGTTTACCAACCTCAGAAGGATAGAAGGCTGAGTCAACCTTGAGCCAGTCAAGATCAAACTCTTGGTAGTGGGCAGAGTCATATCCTAGTTCTTGATGCTACATAATACAAATCCCAAGCACCTTAAACTGGAATCCAAATTAAAATATTTCCTCCAAAAAATGGCTGTCCAACTTCTATTTTTAAGATTCAAGTAGTGCTTAATTTTTGTTATGAAATAGAATCATTATTCAACTCCAAGCCCTTTATATATCATTGCTTAGAGATAGAAATTCCAGTCACAATTAACGTGACCCAGTGGTTGGGGTACTGTCCTAGAAACCAGGAGAGTGTGAATTCTTGTCCTGCCTTAGGCATGATAGCTGACTGGGTGACTTTGGGTTCTCTCTCAGCCTATCTCACCTCACAAAGTTTTTGTGGGGGAAAACAAGAAGGAGTGTTTGGTATGTTTGCTGCCTTGAATTATTTATAGTTTTTGATCTACAACCATTCATTCAGAGATCATTCAAAGTTATGACAGTGCTGAATAAATAATATATCTGACTAGTCATCAGCATTTTGGCTGTCCCAGCAACTTTCAGTCACATGATTGCAATATGTGCACTTGCAACAAGATTAGACATGATCAATTGCAGTGCCTTACAATTAAGTGATTGCCATTTGCTATCTTCCCTGCCAGCTTTCCCAGAAAATCAATAAAGCTAGCAGGGAAAGTTACAAGACACTAGAGTAAGTTTCCCCCACCTGTGCACCCTTCCCGTCCATCTGCATTTAAACCATGCCAAGCACTTGAGCCCCATCTTCCTCAAGCCTCAACACATTTCCCTTGTATTCTCACATATCCTCCAAGAGCCTTGCCACACCTCCCTCATATCCTCATGTATGCTCATGGATCCTCACACACTCTCCTAGGCCTTGCCACATTTCCCTCACACCCTCGTGCACCTCCATTCATCCTTGTGCATTCTTCCTGTTTCTCCCTCAAACCCTTGTACATCATCATGTGCCATCCCCAACTGCCATGGAATCCTGCACACTCTCACCACACCACCTTGGCACTTTGTACACACTCACACACCCTTCCTGAGCCTTTCTGCACCTCTTTTGCATTTTTGCACATCTCCTCGCACCCTCTGTCGACTGGCAGCAGTCACTTATCTACCTGCAGACAAACTTGCAAGCAGCTTAAAAATTGCACAGCTTCCTCACTGACTAGGTTGCGGGAAGCTAGCAGAAACTTGCTCCCCTATCAACGTGAAATTCAGCTAACAATGGCAACTGGGACTGTAAGTGATGCAGTTGCAGTTTATGATCACATCACTTAGCTACAGAAATTCCAGTCTCAATTGCCATTATAAATCAGGCATTGGAAATATTTATCATTAATTGTCTGTCCAGTTATAAGTAATACTAGCGAAACACACCTCTGCATTTGTCCCATAGTTTGCACAATTATTTGTTTGCTTGACATTGCTGGTCATGTCAGCCAAAGGAAGGATTATTTAATGACACTAGCGTGCTTTTTATTGTTGAATAGAATATCAAGTCAGAATAATATTTTTGAAAAGGAAGGAAAGATAACTCTTAACTTTATCGAAATAAACAAGTGGCATGTTTATTCTAATTTTACAACTGTATGCTAATACTTCGCTTAGTAAATACCGTTTAACTTATTTTATTAGGTTTACATCTTACCTTTTTCCTGCAGAAATTCAATGCAGTATACATTTATTCCCCCCTGCGTGACACTTCCAGTGTTAGCTTCATAATAGAACTGTGTTGTTAGTCTGAACATTTAGAAAGTCACCCTGTGAATGTCATGTTTGAGCAGAATTTTAAGTCAGAGTGCCCTTAACGACAAAGATGCATATCTACTATCTCTATTACATAATTGTTAGAATTTTAAGACTCCAATGTGAACCAAAATCGTTTATTTTGTAGGTACAACAGTGATGATTGGTGCCCACCTTTACCAGTCCAGACATATTTGCATCAGGGAATGGAAGATGAACTTGAAGAAGATGACCGAGTTCCTACACCTCCTGTCCGAGGAGTGGCTTCTTCCCCTGCAATCTCTTTTGGACAACAGTCCACTGCGACATTAACTCCCTCTCCCAGAGAAGAAATGCAACCTATGCTTCAGGCCCATCTTGATGAGCTGACCAGGGCATATCAGTTTGATGTAGCAAAGCAAGCATGGTAAATGTGGCTATCATCAAAATTCACTTGCATATGATTTAAAGACTGATAGGTCCTTGTTTTAGCAGATAGACATAACTGTATAAAAAAGAATTAATTAGATTAATGGATAGATGCAGATTATTTCTTCTTGACAGAATCATGACATAAATGGCTTAATCACTTAAACTACTAACTAATAAATAGGTTTCTTGAATTAAATGGCCATTTGTTTATTTAAAAAAAATAAAATTATCTATTTAAGGTGAGTTATAAAATGGATCCCATTGCCTCCCCTATTTCAAAAGCCCATAAAATAGATAAATAAAATATACTTCTTATATAAGGTTACAGGTAAGCAAGTAGTGACCAACTAAGTATTTCTTTCATTTTGCTTTTATGTTTGAATTGCTATTTCATATATTCCATTCCAAAACTACATTATATCAAGTACAAACCATCAACTGTATCTGTAGAAATGATTAAGGAAAATTTGTGGACCTCTTGAAAATCTGTATGGATAAGTTTTATATTAGATTGAAAGTTTAAAAATATATGCATAAGGGGCATCTTTTTCAATTAATTGAAGAAGCTATACCTGGTTGTGTCCAGTTCAAAGTTGAACTGAGGAATTATGACAAACTGAATTTATGATCCTGGTATATAAAGCTGTAATAGAATACAAGACTGAAAGTAAAGTATTTATAGTTTAGGTGGACTGAATTATAAGATCTACCATACATGATATTGCCCCAAGTTTTTAAAGCATTTTATAAGGATTTCTAGGATTTTATTTTCAGCTTATAGGTAGTAGTAACTGTATTTGAAAGAGTGTTAACACATAGGTAGCTTTTGTTATTAGTTTCATCCATCAAACTGATCATGGATGCTTGGGTTTCCAAAGTACAAAACCCAGGCATTTGAACATGATTTATTACAAAGAAGTTGTGACCCCAAGCATCCTTTCATAAATAGTGCGAAATATGATTTCCAAGTGAATAAAACTTCAATCTTTTTATCTAGTCATTCTAGAACAGGCATGTCAAACTGCCGGCCCACGGGCCGGATACGTCACGCCGAAACCGTGCCCACCCCATTGGCAGCAATGGGGAAAAATTCGCGATATGTCACGTGATGTCACGAGTTTGACATGCCTGTTCTAGAACTTTAAGTTAGGTAAAAGACAATTGCCATATAAATACTTTTGTTTATATTCTTAATTGTAATCTACAGTTTTTTCAATTCCTAAATAAAATATACATCATTACAATATTAATTAGTACAGTAATAATTATTATATTAGTGTAAGTGGTCATTTTACCTTTTGTGGCGATTCTCCTTTTCTGAGTAATAGTTCAAGTTTTACTCACTGGTTCTATATTTACAAGACTTCAACAGAGAATTGCTGGAAGGGCTACAGTACCCTATTGAAGTGAAACCCAGTGATGGGACAGTGGAATCCATTCTTTCATGTTGTATTCATAAAGAAAATGCTATGCCCAAGGTAGAATGGAAGAGTGGATTAGAATGGGAGAAAAAAATAAAAGGAATTTCCTTTCAATTAATATTTTTATATGGCAGAATTGTCTCTGCCCTTCAAAAAAGAACTGACTTCTCTTAAAGTACAGGGTTTTTTCATGCAGAAATAATATGAGTATATTAATCTTTGCACTTTTTGTGTAGCCACTCTGAATCAATGAGAATGGCAACTATAGAAGATGTTTTTAAAATACATTGCATTTTTTACTTCAAATATAGGGGGTATCATTATTATGTGGAGCTTTATACTGTTTCATTTGCTACCAACTTGCCTTTTTCTATGCTTTCTTTATATTACAAGCACCAAATGCAAGAACATAGTTTCTAGTTCATATGCCCAGAAATTATAGTTCTATGAGGGCTAGAAATATTTTTAAATGCTTTTTAAAAAAGAAACTGAACATATAGCTTATCCTGCAGGAACAAGCTGACTCCCTTGTTCCTTATCATCTGAAAGCCAATGGAATTTGGAAGAATTGGTGCATCCATAGGGACTATATGAAAAGCACGGGTTAAAGGGTCAATCAATTAGTTTCTATACTGCTTCTGTGACCTCGGAGAAGCAGTGATAAATGCTAAAATCCTTTCATTTCTTGGCAGACACTTTCTTAAAATAGAGATTCTCTAGGTCTCATATAATTATGGTCCTGCAAAAAGAACTGTCAGGAAAACAAGCATGGACAATTGCGAGGATTCTTTCTTTTCTTTCCTTCCCTTTCCTTCCCTTAATTAAATGTGTTCATATTTCATTATTTCACTTAAAGTTGATGGAGAGATACTTAGTAGCAATTAAGAATCAGTTTAAGTTTAGGGATTACCAGCTTTTAAAAAATCTTAAATACTTAAATACAAATCTGAAAATATAGTAAACATGAGAATGGTTACTGAAATTAAAGATAGAGCTCACTGTAATGGATTGAGAATTTTCCAGCATTTCCTAAGAATTTTTTTAACTGGAATACTCTTATCCAGCTTCCTATAGAAGCTGAAGTACTTAATCTTTTCCAAGCATTATCAAATTGACATGTTATGGAATTAAAATAAAATGTTCCAAGGTGCACTGGTTTGTTTTATCACAGTACAGTAACCTTTACACGCAACTGTTTGAAATTTTACATTGTATGCTGGCATGTTACCTCTAAACCCAGCTGTTCTGCTGTCTGGCCATCATTCCTCTCAAGCACTAATTTTACAATATATACAGATTTTGCTCACATGCTTTAAAATGGAGGAAATAATTAAACCTCATTATCTATCTGCAATTAATTCCCTGAAATTGATTTTTCAAGTACCTATCTTGAGTTCATGTAATCCATGCTCGTCCCTTCTCAGAAGAATTTTCTGTTATTTCCCAAGTGAACAGAAAGAGAAACACCTCCATAGGAGTACATGGAGAGGAGATGCAGAAGGGATTGAGGGTGGGGGAAACGAGACTCTTGATATTTATTATGAGATGGGATGAGATGTTGTTATGTTACATTAAGTTACATTACATTATGTTACATTGTAGTTGGATAGTGTAGTTGTTAGAGTGTCACCAGACTACATACCAGTACATACCTTCTCTGGAAAATGAGGTTAGAGACTAAGATAAAGAATAAAGGTCTCAAAGGTGCTTTTTCACAAGGCAACTGGACATTCTTGTTTTTCTTTGAAGATGTTTTACATCCAAGAAGTTTTTTCAGCTCTGACTGGATGGTGGGGAATGGAAGAATTTATACTCCTTGTAGACAGCTGGTCATTTGCATACTTTTAGAGAGTTGTTAAGGCCATCTGGAGGTTTATCTGTGTCATCAGGGTCACCTGAGTAGTGCAAATGGGTGTGGAGCCTTCTTGGAGTTGCTGAAAGGACTGTTATAGACTGGAGATAGATGATGTCGTATCCCTTCCCCTCTGTTGAGATAGGGGCTGTTCAGTTTCTCCTATGTTGTGCCATGTGTTTATGAAGTGGTTGTTTTGTTTCCCCAATGTACAGATCTGCACATGGCTCACTGCATTGTACTGCATATACCACATAGTTCAGTTTGTATCTGGGTGTTTTATCCTTGGGGTGGACAAGCTTCTGCCTTAGTATATTCGTGGGTTTGAAGGGTGCACGTATGTTGTGTTGACTGAAGATCCTCTGGAGCTTTTCCAATATTCCTGCAACGTATGGAATGACAACGTTGTTTTGTTTATTGTTTTCTTCTTTGCCTGCTAGGTCTTTTTTGGGATTTGATGAAGGCCCCACTTGGAATAGCCACACGTTCTCAGGGCTTCCTTGATGTGTTTTAGTTCTTTTTCTTTCCCATCTTTGCTGTAGGCAGACTTTCAGCTTGATGGTGTAAGGTTCTGATAACTCCCATTTTGTGCTCCAGTGGGTGGTGAGAATCAAAATGTAAATATTGATCTGTTGGGGGGGGGAGTTCTGTAAACTTCATTGTTAAGGCTTCTGTCTTCCTTAATGTGTAGTGCATAGTCCAGGAAGGCCAGGGTATTTTCCTTAATATCATCCCATGTGAATTTCATGTATCTGTCCACAGGGTTGATGTGTTTGGTGAACGCTTCCAATTCCAATTGGTGTGTTTTGCTACTCTTATTGGGAATTAGCCAATATTTATTTGATTTTTGTCTCAGAAGACTAAATCAGACTCCCCAGTTCTGACTCAAAATTATTAGAATGGACTTTATTGTAGTCTTGAAACTCTTGATTTCCTTTCTTATTTTCTGTAGAGCAATAGCCCATGCAACTTTCAATTATTAATTATTTTAATATTTTATCTTAATGTTGCTTCTGCTTTTAATTCTACTACTTTTGATATACCTTTTGAAATTTGAGTGTTTAAGTAAACTGAAAAGGTGGGATAGAAATTTGGTAAAAAATAAATATCACACAAATTATATATCAATAATTTTACTCAGGTAAAAATAATACTAAATAAATTAAAAGGCTCTGTTAAATTATTATTGAGATAGAAAATGACTGCATCATTTTCGTGGTAGCCATAAAATTACTCTTTATCATGATGTCTGTATAAACATAACTAAGAATACTGTTGTGTAAATATTTTGTTTTGGCTATCTTTTGAGCTCTAATAGTAATGTGAAAAAATCCTTTGCTTTCAATGCTAATCAAAAATGGCTTGCAGAGGATGGATATAAAATGACTTAACTTTTATACCTCCACAAGTACATCAAACATATTCAAGAGATTTACTGTTTACTTTCAACAGTGATTTATCCAGAGTATTAATGCTTTGAATAAAGCCATAATTTGTATTATTTTGGATGTACTACATTCAAATGAGCATACAGTGTATTACAATGATGATAATTGGCTGTAAAATTAGGAAATAGGCATGCCAAAAAAAAAAAGTTTTAGAACACCTACAAATCCTTCAAAAGTGTCATTTTTCTCCTTAAAAATCGACTCATTCTGCATTACCATTAAAACATATCTCAACTGACTGCAGTCAACGTTAAGGAAGATACATAAATTACACGAATGGCCGTAAATGGCAATTTAAAGGATTTAAGTTTGGCTAGATAATGGTCTCAGCTTTTTAAATAAATTGGTAAGTACAATGCTTAATATATGTATCTTCCTCTTTGTTCTAGGCACAATCAAATCAATATTCAGCCACCTCAGACCCCAGCTCCCCCATTAGGATATGTCTCTGGAACATTAATATCAGATTTTGAAGCAGACATTCCAGAGGATGAAGATGAGGATGATATTGAAGAAGAGGCTATAGAAATCACACGGCCATTACGAGACCTAGAGCATACTTCAGGCTGCGGCACAGACAACCTTGACAGCTCTCTGACAGGTAGGAAAAGAACATTTATGAATGCAGAAAACGTTATAAATAACAAACTGTGAGTCGCAAAGTCAAAAACAAGCAAAGAAAATCCAAGGTAACTCAATCTGAATTGATAATAAAATTACTATTGGTGAAATTGACAATATTCAATTTATATATGAATTTCATAATCTTAGAAGGGCGCAGACCTAGAGCAACCCTTTTTGCCTTTGGAAGCTCAAGCATGCATAGTCCACATATGTAATTAAAGTTACTTTTAATCTATTTAGTTATTTAATGTTTGCAATCAAACTGCTTTCCAAACTATTTATGTACAAAGATTTCAAAACTAAATCCACTTTAAATCTAATCTAAAGCCTTTGAAAGAGTGCTTTCTTAGTCCCAAAGGTGCTTTTTCAAAAGGCACCTGGACTTTCTTGTTTTTCTTTGAAGACGTTTTGCTTCTCATCCAAGAAGCTTCTTTAGCTCTTCTTAGTGTACCTGTATGCTAAGCGCTTTGCCTGAATTTTCTTAGAACTTCTGGCATAATTTTTAAACAAAAATTCTCCATATTTCTCCATATATCCCAAGTTAGTAATATGCCATATACCAGCTTTTTTAAATGACTGCTTGTTAATTCTATCACCGTCTTGTGTATGTAATTGATCTTAATATTTATAATGCTGTAAGTTTTAGGTTTTAGAACAAACAATATTAATATATGCTAACCCTAAGCCTTAATCATAGGGCAACAGTATTGTTGACACCTACTTAGCCTGACATCCATATAAGTGGTAAATGCTTATTAAGGTACTTCTTTTCAGAACTCTTTTATGAAACCAAGTGAATCAAATATGTATGGGTTTGTCAGTTATTATAGATGAAAACATCATGAACTTCATAAACATGAGATTTTTCATTTTTAATGAAAAATAAATTGAAGCCATTTAACCTAATTTATTTCTTTTTAGAATTTCAGTCTTCTCCATCTGTATCACTCCTTATTTTTTCTTATTGCTGAAAGGCACAAAAAGTTATCAGATTTATTCAATCTGTTAGCATGCACTTAGAACATTAAGTAGTTGTTCAAATGTTGCAGAGCAGTAAAATACTAGATAAAACGGCATCTTTCTCTGCTTCTGTTACAGTTTAAGCACTAACATTAATTTATGATCTGTCATCAATTCATTTACATGCTATTTAATGCTAAATCCACTCTTGCAGATAAATCTGTATTCCTACATCCATTAGACTTGAGTATAATTCAGTTTTATAATATGATCTGTTAATTACTCCATCACTTTTTAATGAGATTTAAAAAAATCTCATTTAAGTCCCTTGTTTTGGAGCACACTTATGAGCAATGACCATCTTATTTCTACCAATTAAATAGAACTTTATAGAAAATAAATGTACAAAAATAACAATTAAAATATGTATTATTTATCTAAACATTTCCAGATTATTATTCTAATATTTTAATGGAAGTAATTATGATATCACAATTACTTGGCAGGAACACAAAAACAATGGAGCTATCAGTAACACAAATACTGCATTACTGATTTCACTGGATAATTGATTATTTATTTAAATGATTTATATGGCCACCCAACCTGCAAATGACAACTTTGGGTAGCTAACCTAGGATTAAAAACCTAGGATTAAAAACAAAGAAGAAAACAGGAAAAAATACCACATAGCCCAGGTTGAGTCATGATGCACATAAGCAAACAAACAGGTTTTCAAAGCCTTATAAAAAGTGAAGCAAGATCAGAGTCTTCCATACCTTGGAGCGTAAGCTGTTCTAAAGGATAGTATACAGTTGGGGAGATGATTTTGAGATAAATATGCAGGAAACATTACCTAGGTAAAAGAGGATGAAAGTATTTTTAAGTCCATAACAACAAAATAACATTCAGAAGTGACTCAGGGAGATGCAGTGAATTATAAGAAGGAAGGAGGTACAGCACAATATTATTATTATTATTATTATTATTATTATTATTATTATTATTATTATTATTATTATTATTATTATTATTATTATTATTATTATTATTATTATTATAGTACATGGAATCTCAATAAAAGTAGTATTAGCCTTCTTGTGGTATTGATTTCCTAAGTTGGTCATCAAATCAGATTTTGTCTCTAGTAAGGACTGCAACACACAAGAATTTTGTGATTAATGGCAGTAAGTGGTAAGTCTGCTTATTGATTGATCGATTGGTTTTATAAGGCTGCCCAGTTCAAAGAATGAACATAAAAAACCACAAATTAAAAAAGCAAATTAAATATCAACCAAACTTGAAATTATTGGCCTCAAATTAGAGAAGTGGGGAGAGATAGGGAAGCGATCTTAACAGCTTTTGTAAAGAGAAACAAAGTCGGTGCCTGCCATAAATCAGGAGAGAACATTTCAGACCACAGGAACAGCCAGTAAATAGATATGATTCCCAAATCCCATGAGATTGCAAAATTTAAAAGGGGGAACCTGGACCAAATTTGATACAGTATGTTCTCATTTACGGACTTACTGTTCAGCGACCATTTGAAGGTATGAGGGTACTAAAAAAAATCACTGACCA